AAAAAAAAAAAAAAAGATAGGAATGCATTTAAAAGCTGTACACTCTGGTTTCGATATCCTACCAACACTTCAAAATTAACATGTCTAAAACCTGCATCAATTCTCCTCTTTCACCTCTACCCAAATCAACTCCCCTGACTTTGCTCTCCACCTGTCCAAATCTTTGCTTCCTGCAAGGCATATGGTAGGGCCCAAGATACATGACAAATATACTGATCACATACTGCACTGTGACACCTCTGGTACTGTTCTGTAACTGTCATTCAACTTTTCATATGTTTATGTATTATTACCCAAAAACAATGTGTGATCTTTAAGAAAAAGAACCATATCTTAGAGTACTTTATGTAAGTCATAATATTTAGCTTAATGCTTTGCAAATAGGCAATTTTTAAAAATTCCTGAGAGGTAAATTGATACTGTCTCAGTAAAGGTGTAGTAGTTTATAAAAGTATAATTCAGTGAAGAGAATTATAAAAATCAAACAAATTTGAAGACTACTTATTCTTATGTCAATAAAGAGGGTACACATAGATCAAGTGGTATATACAGATTTATTGAGCTTAATAATAATGGGAAAGTATGGAACACAGCTCTAAGAAACTGCAAGCCCTTCAAGTGTCTACTAAAGCAAATAATTCAGACGTCAAAAAATATTCCCCACCTCCACACACTCCCTCAGAAGCCCCCAAAACTAAAAGTAAAAATTACAAGAAAAGGCCATTTCCAGTTCAGATTATTCTAAATGCTACCAAACTCACCTCTTATTTCAGGCCAGATTTTGTTTTTCCACTGATCTATACACACAATAATCATCAAGCCGAATGCAAGCAAAAACACCAGACGAAGAGATGTCAGTGCAAAGAACCTACAGAGAAGGAAAACAGAAGAAAGATTATTATGTAATTAAGCTAATTTCAGAAAAGATCCCATATGCACTACAGGCTCTGTAGAAAACAGACTGGAGTCTCGTTTTTTGGTTCTAACACTAATTAGTTATACCACCTTGAGTAAATGACTTAAACTTTCCAGATCTAAGCTATTTTACCTATGGGGCAGAGATAATAACTTGCTTTTACAAAGGCAGTGGACTAAACCAAATAACCTCTTAAACCCCCTTTCAACTTTAAAGCCTGTGATTCTATGATTTCGGAGAAATTCATCCTTGATAAGCTGTTATGACGAAAGCAAACATCTTTCTACCAAATTAGATCCTAGCATAAGGCAACAAACTGATAGAGCTGCATTAGAGAGCATTCGGTTCAACTAGAGATCCTTTTAGAACTGATCAAATGAGGATAAGGATGATTGAGGGTTGATTATAAATGGCAACTCTGGAATGACCACTTCTCAACTCAACACTTAACATAATGATTTGATATAATCACTGAACAACACCAAGTATAATCCCTATTAAAAAAAAATTTAGTATCTGTGTGTATATATGAATACACATACATGCGCAAGGATTAGCAGAGGGACTCTAAATTCATGTTATATAAATTTTTAAAATAACATTTTTTAAACAATGCAAAGGATGAGGGATGGAAGGAAGCAAGGAGAACTCAGAAATGCAGTCACCAATGACATCCATATTCCAATTTTTCCACCCCACCCCTTAAGGAAACTGTAATTATATATGAGATTTAAGAATGAAAGCTGCTAACAGAAATAAACCTCTAGAGCTCCCCCAGGCCATTAATCTTCTCTCTAAAGTCAGTTCATCGTCCACAGAAACAAGCCAATTTAACAAGGCCGAGGATAAGGGCTCTGGAGTATCCTGCTCCCTGGCGCTGCAGCTTCCATCCATGTCCCAGAAGCAGCATGTGGCACAACTACTGTTTTCTCCAGAGTACTTGAAATGGCTCTTTAGGGAGGCAATCCAGACTGCCTGCAATCTCCCCTTCCCAAAGTATGATTACTAGCACAAATATAAACAGGGGGTAGGGAAAGGATAATAAGGTCCTCGGAAGAAAGGCTGGTTTTCCAAAAATAATGGCAATAAAAATACTGTTCCTCCAAGACTTGGACTATTTTAGAATAGCCTGTTAAATCTCTCACCCTCAGTACTCAAAAACTATGCTTCAGTTCAATTCAACAAATATTTATTGAATAGCTATTATATGCAGTGGCATTGTGGTAAGCCTCCCAGCTTCAGAAAAGAGTAAGACAAGGACCTTACTCTCAAGTGTATTTATGTATTTATTTGTGTGTGTGTGTGTGTGTTTACAATATAATATGAGAAGGTGATAATAACAAACAAGAGGACATCTAAACTGGGATTTGAAAGATAATGGTAGGAGAACAGGGCAAAAGGGTGAGGGGAAGGAGAGGACATTCAGATAGGAAGAAAAGGGAGTTAGCTTGATATATTTAAGGAACTACCCGCAGTTTGACAGAACTGAAACATAAAGAACAGAGGTAGGGGATGTGGATGAGGAGAGAGGCAGGAGTCAGATCATGAAAGGCTTTTTATGACACCTGGTATTGGATTTCATCCTACAAATGAAGGTGAGCCAGTAAAGAGTTTTAAGAAGGATGTATTTTCTAAGTCATGAAGGCTAAAACCGAGTATCTTCTAGAGCAAGATTACCCTGGTCCATAAATCAATTTTAGGCTCAGATGTAAGTGGGTGCTATTTGGTATCCTTTTTTTGAACAAGCTGTTGCAGGAATGTCAAAGGAAGAAGTTTTTTTGTATGTGGTATAAAATGGCATTTCTTGGGAAAACGGTTTCTTCCAAATAGATAAAAACTTAATTAATGGAAAGATCACCTCAAAGCACTAGAGTCGACTCCTCCAAGGTAACTAAACAATTAATACTAATGTTCCCTTAGGAGTTTATCAAATACAAAAGAAGATGGATAAATGTGCACTCCTCTTTTTCTTCCAGCTCTCAATACTAAATTCCTAAATAAAAAGGGATTTCAGTTGGCGTGTTTTGGATATACTAAAGTCACATCATGCTTGTCATTTTATGGAGGTAATCTGGAATCCCACCTGTAAAAAAAACTGCAACTATGTGCAAGGACAAGACATCATTGAAGACAAAGTACTTTTGAGATTAGTATAAGTAAAGAATGGAAGAAAAATAAGGGAGGATTCCTCTAGATTAGTTTAGTCCTGCAATATCTATTCATGCAAGCCAAGAAATACACAAGCAGATATAACAGTGCAGAAATTTGATAAGACAACATGCAAAACATTTTTCAGCAACTGTAATCAGCATGAGAATTTTCCAGCTTAGCAAAAACAACTACAAATGCAATCAACTCTGGATACGCACATGTGAATTATTAAATTTGGGCACTGCCATAGCCCAGTACTCCTCCTACCCATAGTAAGCTCAGGATCTATTTTTTTCTCTTCATAATCTTTATTTTTTTTTTTTAACTTCTAAAGGCAAGCATGTTTATTGGAGAAAGTTCAAAAAATGTAAATAGTAATTAAAGACGAAAATTAAAATGATATTAGTACACAACTATCTATGAAGTGAAGCCCCTAAGTGGTGCGAAGGGGAAAGGTTGGCAGTTCGAATCCACCCAGAGGCACCTTGAAAGAAAAGCCTGGCAATCTACTTCCGAAGGTCACAGCCATTGAAAACCCTACGTGCAGTTCCACTCGGAGACACATGGGGTCACCATGAATAGGAACAGACTCCACAACAACTATTCTTTTTCTTTCTTTAATCTGTGAAATAGTCTTGCAACAAAAAAGAAAAAATCTGACCAAGCCTCTAGATTCAACTACCAATTTACAGGAAATAGAGTATAGGGGAACATGTTGAACCACGGGATGCAATCAGCAAAATCCAGTCTGTGGGAAACTTTACAGGACAAACTGGTTTCTTCAACAAATAAATTGCAAGGGGGAAAAAGGATGGCAGGGGACCCTGCAGAGCCAAAGAGATGTAAAAAAAACAGAGCAATCAGTTGCAATATGTGGACTTCAACTGGATCCTGATCCAAATAAACTAAAAACAAATAAAAAATAATATTGATGAGAAAATGGGAAATTTGAACACTGAGTGGCATCATTAATTTTTTACATGTGATAATGGTAGTGATATATTTTTATGAAGTATTTTTTAGAAATACATATTGAAATATTTACAGATTAAATGATATTACATCCAGAATTTGCCTTAAAATAAAGGAGGAAGTGGCAAAAGAGTTGGGGTATAGAAGAAACAAAATTGGGCATGAGTTGCAATTTTTTAAAGCCGGATACACAGTGGCACATACTACTCTGTCTATTTATGTATATGTTTTAAATTTGTATAAGTTCTAAAAATGATCCATCATCCATATACATAAACCAAAATGTGAAGAGTATTTTTTTTAAAACTTCACATACCATATATCCAGGCACCATGGACGTATATGGTTTAGAAACTTCCTTCTTCATTTAACACATAGACCAGAAAAACATCAAAAAATTTTAAAGTGACTGCATCATACATATATATAAGTACTATTTTAACCCTTTCCCTAATTAGACTTTTAAGATGTTTGCAATTCTTGATGTAATAAAGCAAAGCTTAAATACACATCACTGAACATAAATCTTTGTCCTTTCCTATGATTAACTACTTTAAATGGAATTACAGGGTGAAAAAGTATTAACTTTATTTTTTAAGTTTTGTTGAGATATAATTCACATAGCATAAAATTGACCCTTTAAAACTATCTAATTCAATCATTTTTAGTATGTTTACAGAGTTATGCAACCATCATCACTACCTAATTTTAGAACATTTTCACTATTCCAAAAAGAAATCCATACTCATTAGTAATTATTTCATATTCCCCTCAACCCTTGAATAGGTATTAACTATTTAAGTATCTCAATATATGTTGCCAAACTGCTTTCCAGAAAGGCTGTCCAATTTATGATCGTATCAGCCGTATAGAAAAATCCTATGTTTCCATCTCTCTCCCAGAATTACATATTATCATTTTTAAAATTTAATAAGCAGAAATTAGTAACTCATTGCCATTTACATTTGATTTTTGTTTATTACTAGTGAGAGTGAAATTTTATATATCCATTGATTGATTATTTTGTATATTTTCATTTTGTAAACTGTCCATCCCCTTTGTCAGGGGCTAAAATCCAATTAAATTATCAGTCTAAATAAAATACCCCTTGGAATATCAATCTAATATCAAGAAAAATCATTAAAAATTTCAGAACCAACTATAACCATTTTGAAGTTAACTATATCATGGATCCTCACTATTAGTACACGTAAGTTAGAGTTTGCCATAATCATAAAGTAATGACCACATGTCTATTTCTAATCAAAGAAGATACTATTTCTAGATTCCTTTGTTACTACAGAGTAAGTCTGTCTCTCTGGCGCTTCACAACAAAGCATTCTGTCCTATAGGGACAGAAAGCCCATTATTGTACAGTACTTGTGGCTGTTGGTTAATAAGCCAAACCTAAACACCCACTGCCATCGAGTCAATTCCAACTCACAGTGACCCTACAGGCAGAGTAGAACTACCCCATAGTGGTCCAAGGCTGTAATCTTTACGAAAGTAGACTCCCACATCTTTCTCCCACTGAGTAGCTGGTGGGTTTGAACAGCCCATCTTTTGGTTAGCAGCCAAGCACTTTAACCACCACGCCACCAAAACTTTTTGTTAATGAGCCAGCCACTGGTAAATCAGAAGGATAAAATTAACCCAACCTACATCATGTTGCGATAGTTATCGCTTATACAAAACCAGCTAGTTGCTAATAACCTACTGTGAGAAACGGCGAGAAACTGAGAAAGCACCCAACCTTACAATTAGGACTGATAAAAACTGAAGGCAAAAGAGGCAAAAGTCAACCAAGGCATCCTTGGGAGTTTTCTTGGCTACCAAAAGCAACAAGAAGAAACCTCCAAAGACTATTATCAGAAATATTTGCTCAATAGATTTAATCTGAAATTTGATTTGTAGATTTTTTTAAAAACAAAGAACAAATGCCTCTACTTACATGGGCCCTCCCTTCCATTACCTATTGCTCACTTTTTTTTTTTTTTAACTCAAATTCTAACCTCTTAAATCAGAATTGCTGTATATCCTTAATCACGTCTCTGGTTTTTGTTTATTTTTTGGTGAGGGAGATAAACACCTTGTTTTTTTTTCATTAGTGAAAACAATAGATCTGATAATAGCCTCTAGAATTGTAATATGGTTAACTCAGACTAAACCTGTTGCCATCTAGTCGATTCTGACTCCTAGTGACCCTACAGGACAGAGTAGAACTGCCCCATAGAGTTTCCATGGAGCAGCCAATGGATTTGAACTGCTGACCTTTTTGTTAGCAGCAGTACCTCTTAAACACCACTCTACCAGGGCTCCTAACTCACACTAGCGACTATAAAAGCAGGCCCCAACAGAGATCTCAACAGAGAATCAGCTTGTGGATTGCTCTGAATCAATACTTTCAATTCAAAGGTAACCTAGAATCATAGAATGTTAAAAACTGGAAAGGATCTCAGCAGGGTATACCCATCATAGAAGGGGGTGGGCTAGGAGTTCACATACATTTCCACGGTTCCTTCACCCTCCCCTTATCTCCCACATTATGAGACAAACCAAAAAGTTAATGGAACCAGTTCTTTTCTAATGTTGTCAAAATATACTCTTGTTGACTCAGATATTCTCCCAAATCACTCACTTACAGATTGGGTTGAGGCTAATGAAAATACAAGCTATTGGAAGGGAAGACCTGACATTTCTGTTGTTATCCTTGAGATAACAGTTCAGTGACCAGAAGCAATCTAAGCTGGAAGCTCTGATATGGCCACCATGACTTCTCTGGCATCTGAAAAAAAAGTGAAAGCCTTGAAATATTATAGTAGCAAGGTATCTACAGCTGTCTCCATCTTTTATGACTTTCTTTTTTTAAGATGTTAAGAGGGTACATTCACAAGTATAGAACACTGAAAGTTACCTGAATTCTGAAGATTTTTTTTGTACTCCTATCTAGTCTTCTGGAGCGGTGGCGCAGTGGTTGAGAGCTCTGCTGCTAACCAAAAGGTCAGCAGTTCGAATCCACCAGCTGCTCCTTGGAAACTCTACAGGGAAGTTCTACTCTGTCCCATAGGGTTGCTGTAAGTCAGGATCGACTCCACGGCAACGGGTTTGGTTTTTTTGTTTTATCTCGTCCTCTAACCTCAAAGTGTATAAAATACCCCCAGTTAATGATGGACCAGTATTCAAAATGAATAATGAAAAAAAAACATTTCAGATTTGATTTCTCTCTGACTTGAGCTAATGATCCTCCTCTTTCCCAAGCATCTAAGTCTGAGAACTGAACAGTCACTCTTCAACATTCCTAAGTGAAATGTCAATATTCATATTCATTCAATATGCCACTACTGGAATGTGAAGTCTAACTTTCATTTTAAACCTCAAACTACCTTCCAAAGAATTTCAATTCCCAAAAAAAACAATTCTGTAAACTCCAATGCCAGACTACGCTAGTCTCTGCGGCCTTACCACTTACCTCAGCCATTCTGTATCCTCCTCAGGTATAAGTTCTCTCCATAAATGGCTTCCTTCCCATGGCATACCCAACTGTTCTTTTCAGTCTCAAGAGTTACACCCTCATTTTGCTGTATCTCTCCCCACCTACTTAGAGTGTGATGAGAATGTCACAAGAGGGTGTTCTGGATACACAGCAGGCAAGCTACCAGGAAATGCCAGAGATAAAGACCAATCACAACAATGCTTTAAAAGACCCCGAGGACAAAAAGGGGTTCTGAGTGCGATTCTAAACATAGCATAGTAGTAAACTTAAGTAAACATTGTTGGGGGCCAGCAAATTAAAGCTAGCTGTAACTTTTACAGATGCTTCCCAGTCAGAGCAGGTCCTCATAGACATCAACTCCACATTCTGCTTCAGAAACCTCTCTCAGGCAACAGGCATTTGTAAAGCCTCCACCTCAAAAATAATAACACCCATGCTACCAATTTATTTGCTTTAATAAATCCTCGGTTGTAAATTAATTAAAACCCTGATAAAGTTTTTATACATTAACCAACCATACTTTGATGCAACTTGTTTAATGAGGACCAACTTGCTTTCTTCCTATAAGTACCAAATCCACTGTGGGAAACAAAGTTTTGACTAGATGGGCTGGGGTTAGGGGTTGGGATGGGGCGTGGGAGGAAAGGACAAGAATGTCATTTTGGAAAATGCTCCTGAATGAAGTGCTTTGGTGAAAGGTTTCTGACCGAGAGCAACAGGATGGAACCAGATACCTGAGGGTCAAGGAAGAAGCACTACTAGGAAGTAAGAGAAAAATGCAGTAGGAAAAGTTTAACGGCAAATTTGCTAAAAACTCTGAAAGCAACAAATACCAGACTTCTGTGACACCTTTAACCTGGGTCTCCTTTAAACTGGGAGAGGATTAATTTAATAGCAGAACACTGTTCTTCTGTCAATGAACCTGGAATTTATTTGTTCTGCTCCAGATCACTGAAAAAAAGAGTGACAGCTGTATTGGTTTTAAAATTAAGACTTTTACGAGAAAAGCTATTTGTAGCCAAAAACCAAAACCTAAAAAAACACATACTTTGTTCTGTCTCAGGATTATCCAGGATAGCCTTATTTCATTCGGCTGCAGAAGCCCTCCTACAATCAGTTCCCTTTGAATTTGATCAATAATACTTTCAGTTATGAATAAATGCAAACTATGCTTGACAGATCCAGTGAGGACCTAAGCCCACTTTCAGGTGATGACAAACAAGTGAGAGGAGCAGCAGTTCCATTTGCACAGAGCTTGACACATACAGATTGCTCAAGCATATTTACAGTGCCACTTGTCCCGCTCTGGAAAACTCACACACACGACTAGCCATCCTCAATTTCCCTGCCTCTAAACCGTGGCTAAGGATGTCTAATTCCTTCTATCAGGGACAACTGCGATCTTAAATGGCTTTGCAATGGGTGAAAGCTCACAACTACTATTTCACAAGTATTCTTTAAAAAGCTTATAATTTTCTTTCAAGTTACAGCTCTGGAGGCTCTTACTGACACTCGGACTTCACAAACTTTCTTGACTGGGCGAGATGATACCTAACATGCTAATTGAGATCGCTCAAGTTTGCTTTTTTATCCCACCTAAGGATACCTTTTCAAGACCTCCTCGTATCTCTACCAACACCTCTGGAGACACTCTTCCAATCCCACTTGAGCAGAGATGAGAAGGGAGGCAAGGGTCTTACAGGGGCTGAGCTTTCCCTGGCTAAAGACGCGCCCTCGTTCACGGCGAGCGGCTCAAGATGGTACCAGAAGCCCCAGGCAGATGTGTCAAAGAGGGGAGGCAGCTGCACGGTCCAGGAGAGAACTGGGGTGCCGAAGCCTGGGGACAGGTTACGGTGGAAGGAAGTGAGGCAAAATTAGGCAGATACAGAAAGGAGCCAGTGCAGCTAAAAAAAAAAAAAAAAAAGGACAAAAACCAAACATAGAGCCCTAGAAAAAACTGATGAATTCGTGACTCGGAGGGTTTCCGAGAGTCCAGTTCTCTCACCAGAAAGCCGCGTTCAGCCCCAGGCACCACAGGGCGCTCCTAGCTGGCCGCTCCCACACCAAGGCAGCCTGCACCCGGCTCAGCAGAGGCTCGTAAGGCCCCAGCACCTCTACCAGGACCCGCTGCGCCGCCTCAACCTGCTGGTCCCGCTCCCAGGAGCCTGACAGAGCACGGCGGCCCCTAAAAGTCGGCCCAGAAGACGGGCCTGGGGCCGCGGCCACCCCCTCAGGTTCCGCCATCTCCTGCTGGCAGCCACAACATCCGGGGCCGCGACGGTGCAGTCACAATAACACCAACTACGCAGATGCAAGATTCGGCGGGGGAGGCCGCTTCCTTCCACAGCGCGCTTGCGCACCGGCTCAAGTACGCGGCCACGAGAGGAAAGTAAGAACTTTAAGTTACGCCCCGGTGACCAGCATTCTGAGCCCCGTACCAAGCCCCGCACGCGCAGTCTGCATTGTTGTTAGGTGCCAGGCGGTCGGTTCCGAGTCATAGCGACCCTGTGTACAACAGACCGAAACACTGCCCGGCCCTGCGCCATCCTCACAATTGTTACTAAGTTTGAGCCCATTGTTGCAGCCACTATGTCATTCCGTCTCCGTTGAGGATCTTCCTCTATTTGGCTGACCTCTACCAAGTAAGATGTCCTTCTCCAGGGACTGGTCCCTCCTGATAACATGTTTAAAGCACATAAGACGGAGTCGGCCATCCTCCTTTCTAAGGAGCATTCTGGATGTACTTCTTTCAAGACAGATTTGTTTGTTCCGGCAGTCCATAGTATTTTTAATATTCTTCCCCAGCACCATAATTCATAGGCATCAATTCTCCTTTGGTCTTCTTTATTCATCGTCCAGCTTTCACACGCATAGAAGGCGATTGAAAATACCATGGCTTGGGTCAGGCGCACCTTAGTCATCAAGGTGACATCTTTGCTTTTTAACACTTTGAAGAGTTTTTTGCAGGAGATTTGCCCAATGCAATACGTCATCTGATTCCTTGACTGCTGCTTCCATAGGCGTTGATTGTGGATCCAAGTAAAATGAAATCCTTGACAACTGGAATATTTTCTCCGTTTATTATGATGTTATTTAGTCCAGTTGTGAGGATTTTTGTTTTCTTTATGTTGAGATGTAATCCGTAATCATCAGTGTGATGGTTAATGTTATCTGTCAACTTGGCTAGGCCGTGATTCCCAGTATTGTGTGGTTGTCCTCTATTTTGTGATCTGATGTGATTATCCTCCATTTTGTGATCTGATGTAATTATCCTCCATTTTATGTGTTGTAAATCCTAACCTTTATATGTTAATGAGGCAGGATTAGTGTGGGGTATATCTTGAATCACGCCCTTACTCAAGTCACATGCTTACTTTGATATAAGGGGAGTTTCCTTGGGGATGTGACCTGCATCCAATATATATATAGATGCTCTAGGAAAGCTCTCCCTTGCTTTGGATCCTGCATCCAGCTTGTCATCATCTGACCTTCATTTCTTGGGAGTTGAGCCTGCCATCTGACCTGTGATTTTGCGATTCATCAGTTTCTACAGCCCCATGAATCAACAGCCTACTGTCTGACCTGCCAGTTGTAGGTTTGTCAGCCCCTGCAACCATGTGAGTCAGGAGAAGCCTCCAGCCTGACACCTGACCCATGGATTTGGGACTTGCCTGCCTCCACAACTGCATAAGCCCTTTCCTCAGGATAAACTTCTCTCTCTCTCTCTCTCTCTCTCTCTCTCTATATATATATATATATATATATATACAGATACACATTTCACTGGTTTTACTTCTCTAGAGAACACAGCTTAACACAATCAGTAAGTGCTTCAAGTTCCCTTAACTTTCAGGCAAGCAAGGTCGTGTCATCTGCATAACACAGGTTGTTTATGAGTCTTCCTCCAATTCTGATGCCCCATTCTTCTTCATATAGTCCAGCTTCTTGGATTATTTGCTCAGCATACATACTGAATAAGTATGGAAAAGATACAACCTTGACCACATTGTTCCTGATTTTAAACCACACGGTATCCCCTTTTTCTGTTCCAATGACTGCCTCTTGGTCTAAGTACAGGTTCCTCATGAGCACAATTAAGTGTTCTGGAATTCCCATTCTTCACAATGTTATCCATAATTTCTTATGATCCACACAGTTGAATGCCTTTGCACAGTCAATAAAACACAGGTAAAAATCTTTCTAGCACTCTTTGCTTTCAACCAAGATCCATCTGATATCAGCAGTGATATCCTTCATTCCACATCCTCTTCTGAATCTGGCTTGAATTTCTGGCAGTTCCCTGCTGATGTACTGCTGCAACGCTTTTTGAATTATTTTCAGCAAAATTTTACTTACGTGTGATATTAATTATATTGTTTGATAATTTCTGCATTCTATTGGATCACCTTTCTTGGGAAGGGGCACAAATATGGATCTCTTCCAGTCAGTTGGCCAGATAGCTGTCTTCCAAATTTCTTGGCATAGATGAGTGAGAGCTCCTAGCGTTTCAACCATTTGTTGAAACATCTCAATTGGTATTCCATCAATTCCTAGAGCCTTGTTTTTCGCCAATGCCTTCAGTGCAGCTTGGACTTCTTCTTTCAATACCATCAGTTCTTGATCATATGCTACCTCCTGAAATGGTTGAAGGTTGACCAATTCTTTTTGGTACAGTGACTGTGTATTCCTTCCATCATCTTTTGATGCTTCCTGCATCATTCAATTTTTTGCCCACAGAATCCTTCAATATTGCAACTCGAGGCTTGAATTTTTTTTTTTTTTTCAGTTCTTTCAGCTTGAGAAATGCTGAGCGTGTTATTCCTTTTTGGTTTTTAACTCCAGGTCTTTGCACATTTCATTATAATACTTTACTTTGTCTCCTCAAGCTGCCCCTTGAAATCTTCTGTTCAGCTCTTTTACTTCATCATTTCTTCCATTTACTTTAGGTACTCTATGTTCAAGAGCAAGTTTCAGAATCTCTTCTGACATCCATTTTGGTCTTTTCGTTCTTTCCTGTCTTTTCTTTTCTTCATATATGTTGCTCTTGATGTCATTCTACAACTCATCTGGTCTTTGATCATTAGTGTTCAAATCTGTTCTTGAGATGGCCTCTGAATTCAAGTGTGATATACTCAAGGTTGTACTTTGGCTCTCGTGAACTTGTTCTAATTTTCTTCGGCTTCGACTTGAACTTGCATATGAGCAATTGATGGTCTATTCCACAGTCGGCCCCTGGCCTTGTTCTGACTGATGATATTGAGCTTCTCCATTGTCTCTTTCCACAGATGTAGTCGATTTGATTCCTGTGTATTCCATCCAGCGAGGTCTCCATGTATAACGGCTGTTTACATTGCTGAAAAAAGGCATTTCCAATGAATATGTTGTTGGTCTTGCAAAATTCTATCATGCAACCTCCGGCATAGTTTCTATCATCAAGGCCATATTTTCCAACACTTGTGTGTCAGTTTGTTGTACTCTGGTAGCTTGTGTGTTGCTGTGATGCTGGAAGCTATGCCACCAATATTTCAAATACCAGCAGGATCACCCATGGTGGACAGGTTTCAGCAGAGCTTCCAGACTAAGACAGACTGGGAAGAAGGACCTGGTATTCTACTTCTGAAAAAACTGGTCAGGGAAACCTTAGGAATAGCAGCAGAACATTGTCTGATATAGTGCCAGAAGATGAGCCCCCTCAGGTTGGAAGGCACTCAAGATAAGACTGGGGAAGAGCTACCTCCTCAAAGTAGAGTCGACCTTAATGCCATGAATGGAGTAAAGCTTTCCGGATCTTCATTTGCTGATGTGGCACAACTCAAAACGAGAAGAAACAGCTGCAAACATCCATTAATAATTGGAACGTCGAATGTAGGAAGTATGAATGTAGGAAAATTGGAAGTTGTCAAAAATGAGATGGAACACTTGAAGATGGATATCCTAGGTATTAGTGAGCTGAAATGGACTGATATTGGCCATTTGGAATCAGACAATCAATCATATGGTCTACTAAGCCGAGAATAACGAATTGAAGAGGAACGGTGTCGCAAACGGCATTAAAACCAAACCCAATGCCGCCGATTCCGACTCATAGCAATCTGCATTACTGAAGCCAAACGAATAATAAAGTTCCATCGGCAGGTCTCAGTTCTCATTGCAACAGTGTTCATGGGGCGGGGCATGTTTGGCGCATGCGTCTGGCGGTGATCCGGCCGGAGAGCTGCTCTGTTGCCGATTTCGGTGCTGTGTACTGCGATATCGGCGCCGTATACTGCGATATCGGCGCCATATACTGCGACATCGGCGCGTAAGGCGTCGCGAACGGCTTTGTGGCTGACGAGCGCGGCGCTTTCAGGGAGCACAGAGGCTCTGCTGCCGAGAAGCGCGGCGCTTTTGCCGAGCAGAGCAGCGTTGTTGCCGGCGGGAGCGGCACAATTGCCGCGGAGAGAGGCATTGTTGCTGGTGGCAGCGGCTTCAGCGCAGGAATTTGAGGAACTATGCCGAGGGAAATCATCACCCTACAGTTGGGCCAGTGCGGCAATCAGAGTGAGCGAACCTTCAGCCCCTCCGCTAGCCAGGTCACTTAGATTCTATAGGCTCCCGCTCTCCGCCCTTCCCACTTCGTAGTTCTCCGAAAGGTGGGACACTCCTGACCGAGTGTCCAGTTGCCCAACCCAGAGGGCCCCGCTGTAGCCCAGTCGCCTGAGTACAGCCTTCACAGCCCTTTGCTCAGACACGGGCGAGTTTTGAGACTTGACTTCCTATCCCTGGACCCAGTTCCCCAGCTCCTAATTGGAACCTGCCCAGACCCAAATATCCTCTTTCTCCCCCTTTCCCCGCCCCCAGTTGGGTTCGAGTTCTGGAAACAGCTGTGCGCCGAGCATGGTATCAGCCCCGAGGGCATCGTGGAGGAGTTCGCCACCGAAGGCACTGACCGCAAGGACGTCTTTTTCTACCAGGTGCCCCCAGCGACTTGGCTACAGGGGCCCTGAAAGGAAGGGCAGCGGCCTGGTCCTGGGAAACCCGCTGGGCAGAGGGGTCAGGGCTGCTGGCTTGAGAAGAGAGGGCGGGCAGGAGCCAGAGTTGGGAGGTGTAGGACTCGGCAGGCCCAGCTGATTGGGCCCGTCCTGGACTCCTCTTGGCAGGCAGATGATGAGCACTACATCCCCAGGGCGGTGCTGCTGGACTTGGAGCCCCGGGTGATCCACTCCATCCTCAACTCCCCCTATGCCAAGCTTTACAACCCGGAGAACATCTACCTGTCAGAGCACGGCGGAGGAGCTGGCAACAACTGGGCCAGCGGATTCTCCCAGGTCGTTTGTTGTTCTTTAGGGCCCACAAGGAGCCCTGGTGGTGCAGTAGTTAAGTGCTCAGCTGCTAACTGAAAGATTGGTGGTTGGAACCCACCAGCAGGTCCGTGGGAGAAAGTTGTGGTTCTGTAAAGATTACAGCCTTGAAAACCCTATGGAGCAATTCTACTCTGTTATATAGGGTCACTAAAAGTCAGAGTCAACTGGACAGCAGTGGGTTTAGCAGGGCCCACAACTCCCTCCCTGTGTGGGGACAGGCCCTATGACTTCCCAGAGGGAGATTAAACTAGATCATGAGTACTGGAGGGAGAGATGACTGAGGGGAGTTCTGTTTTGTAAATTAACTATGTAATATACTTAAGAGCCTACACAAGCTAGTACTGTGACATTCTAAGAGCTCTACATGTATTAACTTATTTAAGCCTCCCAACAGCCCTATAAGTTAGGTACTACAGGTCCACCGTCTCTTATCTGCTTTTCCAGAATTCAAAAAGCTCTTAAACCAAAAGATAGTTTCATGGCTCATTTAGCAGCGAAACCAAATCTCAGTGGAGATGAAGCTATTTGTAGTTTCTATCCAACCTACTGTGAGTACTTACACCTTTCATTGCTGAAATGTTAATGTCTTTGATTAATGTGCCTCATACTCCCACTGGGAATTTACTTAATATACATTATATATACTATATTACTTTTCTAAAATCTGAAATATTTTGAACTCCACTGGCCCCAAGAATCTTAGATAAGGGACTGTGGATCTGTATTATCGGCTTTATTTTACAGATGTGGAAACTGAGGCATTGAACAATTAACTGCCCAGAGTCATTCATTAAATAGAAATAGAACCCCTGAAACTATTGCCAAGATAATATTTAACCTTAAACCAAAAATATCTTCTGAAGTCTTCTTAAAACCAAACAGTAGTTTAGTTTAACTGGTAAAGAATGTCTGCCTTGAGCCTTGTGCTCTTTTAAGATCTACCTATATGTGATCAAATTGACAACAGAAACTTGAAAAATTTAGACAAGAAACTTAAAGGGCAGTGAGTTTATATTAATGGGGGAGGAACAACTCAGAAGGATAGTAATTCAGTGTCACTGAATTGTACATGTAGAAACTGTTAAATTGGTGCATGTTCTGCTGTGTGTATTCTTAACAACAACAAAAAAGAAGTAAAGTTAAAATATGAACCCAGGCAGTGTGGATGTAGCGTGCGTCCTCTTAATCACTGTGCTGCACTGCCTCTTTATGCAAATAAAGAGCAAGGCAGCTGTGTTCCAGAAAAGGATTTTTGAGTGGCTATTCTGAAATCAGCATTCTTGTCCCTTGGTCCCGTCCACTCTGACTCTTCCCATGTCTGTACAGGGAGAGAAGATCCATGAGGACATTTTTGACATCATAGACCGGGAGGCAGATGGCAGTGACAGTCTAGAGGTGAGTGTCCCAGGAGCACTGGTGGGAGCCAACATAGGGAAGGCCGGCAACACCTTTAGAAGCTACCTATTAGGCCCAGGGCTCACCCATGTATCCTTTGCACTGGTTAGAAGCCACAAGGCCTTGCTGCAGACAGGGTAGAGTCTCCTAAGCTGTATGGGGCCGGGGGAGGAGGAGGGAAGACAGAAGTCCAAGAGTTGTGGAATGCATCAAGTTTAATATGTGGACACTGTACCTTCCCCATGCAGGGCTTTGTGCTGTGTCACTCCATTGCAGGGGGGACAGGCTCTGGCCTGGGCTCCTACCTCTTAGAACGACTCAATGACAGGTGAGTCTGTGTTTGGGGGGCTGGGAGGAAACAGGACCTCCACCCTGGTTTCCCGAGTGACTGGGAGGCCGTCCAGATATACCTTTCCCTTGACTGGGGCAGGCAAGGGCCCTTCTGCTCCTTCGTGTAGTGAGGAAAGTGAAGTCACAACGACGACAACAGTGGTCACACTCTCAGTGGTTGGAACCAGAGCCTAGAATCTAGGTCCTCGGTGAAGGTCCAGGGAGTGTGGCCGAGTTTGGAGATGGAACCGTAGATCCTAAGATGTCTCTCTGCCCTTCTGCCTTTGGGGCTGCAGACTTCCAAAGATCAAGTCTCCTTTTTCTACTCATCTCATAACCCCACCCTAACTTTCTCATTCAGATTTAGCTGCTTCCCGACAGTTGTCGGGGAGTCTCATATTCACCGGGTCTTCAGTCTGTTGCCCTGAGCCTCTTCTCTCAACCCCCACCAGGTACCCCAAGAAGCTGGTGCAAACATACTCGGTGTTTCCTAACCAGGACGAGATGAGCGACGTGGTGGTGCAGCCCTACAACTCACTGCTCACACTCAAGAGGCTGACCCAGAATGCAGACTGTGTGGTAAACCTGGATTCTACCTTTCCCCACTCCCACCCCACCCCACCCTGTCTTTTTCATCATTTTCATATATTTTAAAAGTCTGTTTTGAGCCAACCTGTGCAAGTCCTTTTTTGATGGGACTTTTTGGCTATAAGGCTCAGGGGTAATTAAGTTTCAGAGCCCAGAGCTCCTGTTCTTCCTGACCCCATAAATCAAATCTGTCACCTTCTTCTGTTCCCCCAGGTGGTGCTGGACAACACGGCCCTCAACCGGATCGCCACAGACCGCCTGCACATCCAGAACCCATCCTTCTCCCAGATCAACCAGCTGGTGAGCCCTCACTCCTCGACCCTCTA